ATTTAAAAACACAGCTATAACATTATTTTGACATTTAAAATTATATTTGGAAATTTTATTTTTTCCTGAAAATTATTTGACTTGATATTGTTATTTAAAATTAAACATATTCAAATGATACCAAACTAAAAGAGCACAACAAAAACTAAGGTGACAAAAACAGTAATTCAAACAAATATTATCATCTGCAGTTCATAATTGTGAGGTTAATCTATCAAGGCTCAGTGTTAAAATCAGCGAGGAAAAGAAATGAAGTTTACAGTAGCAGTAACATTATTAAGCTGGTGGCAGCAGATGTGATTTACAGGAACCTTCATATAAACTTCTAAGCAGAAGCTTCCTCACACCGGACCGTCAGTCCCTAAGAGACCCTTTACACGACACCGTTACAGACCCTCTTATGGCCTGGAGGCTCCTCCACACACAGCATCTCAGTCAGCCTGGTCAGGTGCAGGTGACCTACTGGGACGCATCAGAAGATACATTGTAGCATCAACAGTCACCTTGACAATGGGATTCATCAGAAGTGTTTAGCCATTTTTATTTAATATTTTTGGGTAAAATACTACATCCTTGTAGTATTCTTGTCAGATATCTACAACTGAATAAAATAAATTAGAGTTCTTTTCTCTCCATTTTGTCATTACTAAATAGACCTTTAATTATGCTAATTATAAATCTTTTGCTCTTACTTGTTGTTGCTCTGCCCCTGAGACACAGCAGTGTTCGACTGAACAGTGTCACTGGACAAGGCCTCAGAGCTCCTGGAGTCAAGGCTGCCCAGTTTTATTTCAGCCGGTTTCCCATCAGAGGCTGGTCTGAGACAGACACACAGAGACTTGATAGACGCTCATCAAGCTGCATGTCCACTTCAAACAAACTTGGGCTACAACAGAATGAAAATGGTCTATTACAACTACTAAATAATTACAAGTGCATGCATTTAAATCTCAGTTTAAGTTATGGGGAGATTAGAAATGGGAACAGGGGATAATATTTGCATGGCGGTAACTCACCAGGAAGACTTCAAGCCGATCCCATATAGATGAAGTCATTTATATTTTATATCCTCCTGAGACCCAAGGAAAAAAGTGTCCTTCAACTGTAGGTTATTTGTCTTTGGAGGAAATAAGACATCTTACAATTTAGATTTTTTCAAATTAATTTCACAGCATGCCCTATTTAGTGCACAAGAAGAATAAATAAGTTTCCCAACATCAGTGAAAAAATAAATGCAAAAATACAATGTCCACTACAATGGACATAAATGAATAGGTCGGGTCTCAGGAGGTTACATATAAAAGGCAAAAAGGTTGTGGTTACAAAGTCCCATTCAGATATTCAGGAAAATCCTTCATTCTGACCATGTTGGGAAACCCTGCTATTCGGCAATAAAAATAATGAATCTACGAAATGCTCTTGGTATCCCCTGTGACTTGAGGACAGTCAGTTCTCTCCCATGCTGCTGACTCGCTGCCTGAAGTTCCCTCTGTTGACGCCTCTCAGGCTGAGAGAAGACCGGATGTGTGTGACGCTGACAGGCCAGGAAAGCTAACTGACACTGAACACCCTCCTCCTCCCCATTGGCTGGCATCTGTCCCGTCCCGAGGAGGTTACAGCGCTGCAGCACCAGGGCTGCTCTGTGGTTTCTCAGCTCTGATCACGTGCTTAGAGAATAGAACAAAACCAGTTATTTGTACCTGCTTGATGAACCTTTATCTGCAAGAATGATCATCTCATGCAGTTGCATGTGAAACATATACAGCAGAAAACCAACGTCTGACGACTGCCATTCTTGCATTGATATTTTGGCGGAGAAGCCATCATTTATATGGATGTCTGGTCATGGATGGCAGTCTGTAGGTTTTCTACAGTCACTGATCTCTATACTAAGGAACACGTATACTGCAATTGTTAACATGACTTCTATAGAAATGTCATTAATAATAATTAGAATAAATTAAATTATAACAATATCATAATAATAATGATAAATGTATTAATATTAAAGTTTCAATAAAATATTAATGTTTCTATAAAAGTCATGTTTACATAACAACTGTTGCTTTATTGATCCCTTTGGAGAAATCCTCTTTTCGGCTTCCCCAGCTTGCTCTCTGTGGGTGAGGACAAGCTGACTGTGAAGGGCGGCCACCTGCTGCAGCGCCCAAGGAGCTGGGGGTTAAGGGCCTTGCTCAAGGACCCAGACAACTGCAGCAGTTAACATTGTCAGAAATCCCAGGAGTGCATCTTGTTAGGACAGCAAATCACTATTGAAATTATTAGAAAATCTTGCATTGAGAAACCATCAAACATCCACACTAACTATCTTTTCAAAATGGGGGTTATAAGGACTTTGCTCAAGGGCCCACAGACGTGCCAAGGCCAGCCTTGAACTGGCAACCTTCCGATCCCAGTCACAAAATATTTTATTGAAGTACTTTTAATTAAATACAGTGGTACCTCAGAACTAGAAATTAATCCGTTCAGAACTCCGGACCGAATCCTAAAAAGTTTGAGTTCTGATCGAATTTCCCCCATAAGAAATAATGGAAAACCAATTAATTGGTTCCCGGCCCCAAAAAAATTACACCGAAATATGTTTTTTTTTAGCATTTAAACACAAAATGAACCGGACACAAGAAAAGCATATACTGTACTAAACACAACTAAGCACATTTATCAAAACGGTAATTTTTAAAGTAAGAAAATAAATGTATCCAAACAATGTGTAAAGTTAAAAAAAATGTGTCCTGCCCTGATTGTCCGCTCCTTCCATGTACAACGCCCCCTCGTTAACCGCGTGTGGAATCCCAGTGTGATCAGCTGTTTCTGGTTGTTGTCATTAGTCTTCTGTATTTCGCATCGTATTGTCCGTCTGCATTTTGCCTGCCTTACCTGTAATTAAACCCCGTATTCCCCGATACCCTGACGTCTGCGCCTTTGTCTCCGTTCTGTCCCTGCTGGGCACGACAATACTATTATAATTAAATGTATTAATAGTTTATTATTAATATTAAAATAATACGAAATCTTTATTTTAAAATGTATTTTATTATATAATAATATTTATATGTATTCAGCTAGTTTAAACATGCACGATGCTATGCACAGGCTGAGACTGAAGCGTTACCCTTTGTTTCCACTGAGAGATGTGCCGCGTGACTCATTTTCCCGTGCGTACCAGTTCTCTTAGGTCGGTGTTCACGGTTTGACTTCTGAGATTCAGATCGAGTTCTAGGTAATTTTTTTTTTCAAATTGGTTGGATCGACTTTTAAGAAATTCGAGTTCTAATGAGTTCAAGAACTGAGGTACCACTGTATACTGAATATCTCCCTCTAGTGGCAAATTTTGTATCAAAGTAATGCTGGTCATTCTTCGGCGTCCCAAACTGATGTGCTCACTTTGACCTTTGTCTTAGCTATGTAACAAACGGCCAACATACAGAAGCAAAATATGAATTTAGGCGGCGCGGAAGCACCTGCTCTACAGATCAAGATAAAGTTTGAGAGCCACTGTGCAGGAACAAGTTCACCGTTAGCAGAGAGCGTGCAGACAGTGTGACAGGGACTAAACCAGCTAAAGAAGCCTCGTTTTACTGTTAATATATCCATGCATGCACATGGAAATCTATTCATCTCAGTACAAATTTGTATACTCATCGGGTACACTTGTTTATTAGATTCCAGAATAGGTGTAACAATGCAAAAATATTTCCATAGATTACCTGTGATAGTTTAACTTATGGCAACAGTCCACAGCCTGTAAAACAGTTGCACTCTGGGAATTCTGGCTTGATAAACAAGAAATGCAGTCAATAAGGAAGATTCTACTTGAATGACAGCTTATTCACTTACAGTCTCAGAAATGAGTATTCCCTATAACACTCTTGGGATAGACTGGTAGAGAAGTCCAACGCTGAAAGTGACTTTATGAAATGCTGTGGAAGCAGCAGTAACAGGCCAAACGAAACCAGAGGCAGTTCTCCCCAAAGCAATGAAATCACACCGCGCTGTTTGCAATTCAGATACAAATACACAATGGATTGTTATATGTATATGTCATTATATGTATTATATTCTATGGCTGGGTAACACCAATACTCTCCTTACTTCTGGTAATTTCTAAGCATATATAGCAGGTCCTGCGCTGCAACTTATAAGTTCTACAAGGTACAGGTAAGAGGAAAAGGTCAAATGGAGTATCTGCATTTGAAAACTATGAAAAGAAAGAAAAACTATCCGAGGGTCAAACTCCTACAAAGTATCATCTCTGGAGGCCAAACCGGGCCATGCAGAAGTTCTGTGATGCAATATGAACTGTGCCATGGCGTTTCTGATATGGCTTGGCTGCTTCTGAACCTCAGAGTGCATATAAGAGAAGAAAAATGATGCAGATACAGTGGAGCAGCGTGTCACCGGTAAAACCATTTGGCGAGAGAGCCAAATAAAGTCCACAAGCTGCATATTCCATCATCATACAGCCAAGGCTCATCAGCAGCACGTCCCAAAGCAGCATGCTGCGCAGTCAGCTACACACGGGATCTGCAGCCAGTGCTGCGCAGGTCCTGAATTTCCTGGGAAAAACTCCGGGATCAGAGTCCATATTTCTTCTTCAAGGTACAAACAGAAGCGTCCTGTAATCCAGCTTTATGAAGACGGTCAAAGAGTTCTTCTAAAACTAAAATGGGAGGGATAAAAACATTCAGGAAAAATTATACTCGTTAATCCATAATAAAATACAGTACTGTGAAAAATTATGTTTAAATGATCATGTCAGTGTAAAACTAGGCTATTATGCCTGTCAAAGTGTGTTAGCTTTACCTTGTCAAGGTCTCTCCTAAAGTCACCCCAGGATTTGCAACAACCATCCAAAACATCCATGTATTTTTTGACATGACCTCTACTTGCCTTTTTGGTTAAACATTATCCCATTGTGTTTACTAATTTAATGGATTAATTAAATGAGCTGGTGGTGACATTTAACAATAGGGTGCCCCTGAGGAGAGGTTTGGTGTTCATCTAACCATCCAACAAGGTATCAGAACATTTTTGGAAAACACCAGAAATTTTTGCTAGTTTTTAATTTTGTTAATATTAATTTCATATTTTTAATGTTACATTTTGTTTTTTTTTTCCTGAGCAAAAATACACTTACTACCCAGATAAAGAGCTTTAAACACTTTCGTTGACTGCATAAGCCTTTCGCATAGTACTGTTCATAAAACAATTTACCGGTCAGAGGTTATAAACTGGTATACAATACCTTTCCTTTCAGCAGAGGACATGAACATTATTGCCATGTCAAACCTTCTTACATCTGAGAGGTTCTTCAGGATGTCAAATATCAGAGATGGTTCTTCATACCTAATATTTCAAGAGCTCGGTTACAATTTAGCTCTGCTTTCATGAAAAACAGTTAAGCATCCTTGAAACACTGCTATACTTACGGTAGGTAGAAAGCCTGCAGTATTTTCAGGAGCTGGTTGAAGATCTCTGGTTCCAGCGAATTCTGGAAAATCTTTAAGTACGAGGTTGGTTCGATTTGCTGTGGGGAAAATAAGGTGTAAATGAAAGCTGGTTCATAACTTAGTTAAATACTCCTTGTAAGGCTCAGAGGAGATGGTTGCTTTCTTGTTCTTATGGGTTACCTTTAAATACTTGTAGGTGAGCTCAGGGTAATTTCTCAACTTCCTCAGGTCAGCTTCCAGCTGGAAGCTGTTCGTCGGAAGCGTTGGAAGAGCCACGCCCTCTGGAGGCGGCAGATCCTGCTGGTCGCCTGGTTCCTTCCCTGTGGGCTTTGATGGTGCCTGAGCACTCACCCTGTGCTCATGAAGGCCTCTGGAGTGGAGAGCGTTCAGTGGTTATTAGCAGGTTATTAGGGAGCTCAACACATCAGCATCGCTCAGAATATTCAGGAATGGTTCTAAATAAAGGGCAAAAAGTGCAGAATCCTAAAAAGTCCCAGCATTTTAAAATGATAAATAATTATAATAATAATAAAACAAAATTTTGTCACGCAAAAAAAGAAATAAAAATAAGATGTTATGTATAACAAAAAATAAGTTAATAGGCTTCGGCGGCATTACAGTAATACAGTAACAGTGATATTCTGGGTATATTGGGCCGCGCTCCACCCACATCAGCAAATTCTATTGTGGGCGAATTTGATCACTGAGATTTGAAAACACAGCCTTGTTTTTAAAAACACCTTCATCAAAACACTTTGGTATAATGTATGGACAGTATGACGGTATGATAAATTACATACCACCCAAGCGTAGCTAACATTACTGATAAGCGGTAGACAGATGTAATTCGGCTATTGTTCCATTCGAGCTTGCAGATGTCTTACTTTTCTGAGGCCTGTGTGGAAGAGTGCGAGATCTCCTCTATCTTCTGGATCTTAGCGCAGGGAGAGCTGCCTGCCGACAGATGCCCCTCCTCACTGGCCCCCGTGTCGGTGACAGGCCGAGCTGCCCCGCTGGCTGCTGTACATGTCGCTACGGTTACAGGAATGATGGGGACTGGATCTCCAACTTCTTCAATGTCCATCCTTTTAAGAGGTTTCTGAAGACCCAAATGTTAAAAAATTGATTATTTAATAATTGGAAATTTATAAGTACATGAAATTAAAGAGGTGTGGAGTCGAGAACCTGCTTGTGGAGCATTTCTGGATTAACTGTACACAGCAATGTTTTTTTTTTTTTTATTAGCAAGCTAATTCTGACTAGAGACCTGTATCACAAAGCCGCCAGATTCCCTGCTTAGCTGGATAACTCTGAGGATGAGTAGAGATAACTGGCATTTTGTTATCACAATGCTGCTTCTCTTCTTAGTGGGATAAATCACCACAGTAACTCATGTTACACTCCAATCCAGCGCCGGAGCAGGTTGTGTTTCAGGAGAATGGATCTCAAATGGTTCTTGAACCAGTTCAAGAGAAGACATCGGTACATTCCTTGATATAACAAATGGGCTTTCCCAAACTCTCAAAACGGCTTGCTCATGAGAATCTAAGAAAATTTGGCTTGATATGGATTGCTGACAGTCTGGGTTGTGATACCGCTTATCTCAGATTGCGTTTGTTTGGTTGAGTCAAACTGGACCCTATTTAAAACCTGACTTTGCTAAACCAGCTTTGTGATACAGACCCCTTTTAACAAGGAGATACTTATCAAATACCAAATTAAGTAGTATATTATCATTATCTAATTAAAAATGTGTATCTAAAAAAATCCCATTATCTCAGGAATGTAGAAAAAAAACATTTTCTCAGAACATTAACCTAACTTTATGCCCCAACAGCTGTCAGTGGTTTGCTTTACAAGGACTTACATGGATTGTTGTTAGCGAGGTAAATATGTCAGTGTCAACAATACAAATTAATCTTGCTTTATATTATCGACAGATAGCTAGCTTACAAACACCATGGTTAAGTTGTTAAAATTAGCGACAAAGTAATCTATACAAACCACCATCATGAATACAAATGTTAACTAGTACAAACATAAATGCTAATTAAATAGACGCCTTCATAACACATCTTTTCATTGGTCAGCTGCATGTCCTACGCTATAAGTAGACAGAGGAGAATGGGCTTATTCCATTTACGCTATAAGTAGGCAGAGGAGAATGGGCTTATTCCATTTACGCTATAAGTAGGCAGAGGAGAATGGGCTTATTCGATTAATAACAAAAAAGTGGCGACAATATATAGTATGCAAAAGTAGTTCCACAAGTTCCTCAGAGATGCACATTAACGTTCTAAAACCTGCATTTCTAGACAAGAAATTTAGTAGAACACAAGGCTGTACGCCCGTAAAACTTTTGCTCTGTCTGGAAGATCTTTCATGTTAAAGTCTGCAGCTCTCTTACCGTCGACCGGAGGTGGGGGGGTTTACTGACTGGCTGTACGATTCTCCTCTGATTTGTCGGATCCACTTCCACACCACTGGCAGCCATTTCCTTGCAGGAAAAGATAAGACTTAATAAACTGCGTCATTGAAAAATTTGCATAAACATGGTCTAGGTCTGGTCTTTGATGCCTACAGCTGTGATTTTCGTGATCTCATTCACTGCTTGCTTGTTTCCCGGCTCCAACTTCAACACCTGTTCGAAATCTGAAAGGAAATTACAGAATCAGCGTCCTTCACTGAGCTGACAATATGTTAACATACAAATACCAAAACATGGAATTTAAGAATTTAGGTCTGAGAATGGGCAACTAAAAAGTCTGGCTTGTGCCTAATTCCATATAAAAGCAACTTATTTTGACACATGATATTATGTGCTTGTGTTCATTTTAAATATTCTTCCTTTTTCATTTAGGTCTAACAGCATCACAACTGAATCCCAGTCACTTAAAGGTTTCTTCCTGCGCCATCAAACGCCATCGTTACATGACGCACCTTCCTTTGCCTCCCTCAGCTTCCTCATGGCTGCCCGGGCGGTTCCCCTTCTGGCAAAGGCCTTGGAGTAGGAGCTGTCCAGGGCTATGGCCTGGCTGCAGTCATGCTCCGCCTCTTGGTACCTGCCGGACAGACCATCCATGAAGCAGCACAGCCTAAACTTCAGGCATCAACACCAGCACCACAGGGGCAGCTTCACGAAGCCGGATGAACCCGCTCACTGGCAAACTTTCGGCACACATTCTATTACCGATTTTGACCCGACTATTAAATGACCCTTATTATAAGATGACCCCATACTTTTTAAGCAACTATTGTTAGGGGAAAAAAAACTTTTTGGAATACCCAAAATCTTATCTTAATTTTAATAAGTGCATTAATCTACAAACATGTAATTTAGACTAATTAGACCATAAAACTACACTACAAATCAATAAATGCAATAATCTGAACAAATTGAAATATTTCTCTGTGATTCATTTAGCCAGTAAACAGCTAACCTACACCACCTACTGTTGTATGAGCATAATGACAACGTGTCAACGTGTCCTGGAAAGGAAGACACCCCCAGGTTGTCACTGTGTTGGATTCGGGCCAAACTGGTACTATTCATCAGCACTGCAGAATGTCAGTTGTTCATTGGGAACAATCACAAACATAAGCTGACATGACTACTGTCTGTGGGTGCCATAGAATGCATTTATTTCAGTATTTTAAATTGTTCTCTGGTGTCTGCATAGAACAGGGGTGGCCTATCTTATCCGCAAAGGGCCGGTGTGTATGCAGGGTTTTAGGATAACCTTCAGGTCAGCTGTTCAAACCCAGGTGTGAGGACTCTTCAGCCAATCAGTCCTCTGATTAGTAAACTAATTAGGGAGTTGCAGCAAATACCCACAACAATATGGTACATTTAGAAAAGGCAGCATTTAGAATAGTTACTTAAAAAAAAGAAGTTTTAAAATACACCTGCTGTAACACTTTTACAATCTAAACTCAAAAGCTTTTTTAAAGACGTCTGGTTTTTTTTTTGTAAATAAATGGAAAAGCAGTGATGCGCGGCTCCATTCATGAGCGACATGCTCTCACCGTGGGCTTTAATTCAGCCTGGGCTAACTTACCCAAAAGCATAAATGCTAACAACTGAATAGCCCCAAGTACGCAGGTGGCTAACGGCAGCGTTTGGGAAACGCATCCTTGAATAAGACTCACCTTCATAGCCTACTAGTAGTAAATAACTTTTCATCATTGGCTGTCAATGTACATTTTTCTTTCCCCGCCACATGCAGGACCTTTGGGCTTGACGGTGAGCTGGCTTACGTTACGTTTGGGGCCGTGGTTAAGACCGTTACATAACAGTCTAGGATTTTTGAATCAGCCCATTTTCCCCACCTTCTTTTACATATGCGGGATTTATATTTGAAAGAGGGAACGACAGTGTTTGAGATTCACAGTGTGTCAGGTCCGAGTACCAGACTCTCTACTGTCAGCTATGCGGAGGTAAAATCCCATTTTCATTCTATGGCACCTTTAAATTACCCTACTAAGGCATCTCTTTGAAGTACAGAGAACACAGTCCTCAAAGAAGAGGCTCCTCTGACAGATTAGGCGGCGCCACTTGCCTGTCGAGCCTCAGATAAGCCATGGCCCTGTTGGCCGGTAAGAGCGCGTTGCTGCCGTCGGCCTCCATCCCCTGGGTGTAGCACTGCACGGCGGCCTCGTATTTCCCTTCTTTAAAGTAAGCATTTCCCTGAGTTAAGAGAAGAAATGAAAGGGGAAAGGACACGTCAGCTGGGAGTCTCTGTCTGGGTGCTGCCAGCCCCTTGCTGTTCTGGGCAAGGAGAACAAGGTCCCAGCTGGGAAAACAACAGCGGGGAAACCCCCATGGGAACCATGCAGCTGGTTCTGAACCCCTAGGTCTACAGGGGGCTTGAGAGCCAGTGCAGTTATGCAGTTTGTGCAAACCATCAGTTTAAAATAAATTCTTATAAAAATGCAAATGGTATGACCAAAATATTAAGGAGCCTGGAAAAAAATATTTACAGTCAACAGTGAACTGGTTTAATGTTTTAAATTGACTTATGTGGATTGTTGTCACCGAGGCAAACGTGTCAACAAGATACAAACTAATCTCAGTTTATATTAACAATGATGTTAGTTAGCTAGCTATCTAGAAAGGTTGTTAAAATTTGTGATATGAAGTAATACATGAATACAAATAACTAGCGCAAACAAATACTACTTAAATGGATGACTTCATAAAACGTCCTTTTCAATGGTCAATCAGATATCAAATTCAAGGGACAGGAGAATGGGTTTAATCCATCTATAGTAAAAAGTCAATCGTCAAAAAGTGGATATTCAGTCTGCGTTGTGCCGATGTTACACATGCAAACCACGCACAGGACAAAATGACAAAACTAATCAGTCAGCACAATTCCTCCACCGGCTGGGAAGAACGGCATCGCTGTGACTCATTCTCTGCATGCAGTTTGATCTCCGACAGATTGAGGCCGGAACTGCAGCCACAATCCCGTATACCGTCCCGTAACAGACACACACCCGGTCTTTCTGCACGACAGCCTCCTGCCGTCTTTGCGCTTCCTCGGCGTGCCTCCGCTGACTCTCTGACTCTGTCACCTCCTCCTGGGTCGTTTCGCTTGCCTGGCTCCCGTCTGCCTGTGAGGGCATAGCCTAAGAAGCAAAGGTAACGAACGATGTGGGTCACACGCGACAGATACGATGATGTAATGTATCCCAGACAAACGGGGCAAAATTAAGCAGTACCGTTATTATCTTCTTCACTTCATTTTGTGCTTCGTGATTTTCAGGGTCCAGTTTAAGAACCATTTCATAATCTGACAGGTGAAGAAAAGAAAACAAAAATAATAGCAACTTCTTCTGCCTAGTGTAGCTAAATGTTAAAACCTTTTAAATTGGATGGCCAATGATTTTTAAAAGGTTACAAAAAAACACAGTACAACAAATAAATCAGCAGTATGAAGCATAACCAACAACCATGAATGTAAGCAGTTGGAAGAGACAGTGGAATACAACATTCTATCATTCTCCAGTAAACAAAAAAAACAAACAAAAACAAGGCATACCTTCTAGGGCAGACTCGAGTTTTTTAAGAGCAAAGCGAGCGGCTCCCCGTCTGGTATAAGCTTTAGCGTAGTTTCTGTCCAGAGCGATGGCCAGGTTACAGTCGGACTCTGCGACGGCATACCTAAGACAGAAGAAGTGCCCACTTTGCCTCACACACCGTTCACACTGCTGCATTTCAACAAGGCCGTGCATTACAATTGTGGTAGTTTATGCTATGAAGGATCTATAAATCCACTTAGTTTTGTCAAGACATTTAGGGCAGGATGGGATGTCAGCTCCAGCAGTAACTGCACTACAACTGCAAATACAATACCATGGGGGATCGGGTTTACAAAAACATCTCAGCTGCTTTGTTCAGTCTATCACCAGCACTGACTTTTTGAGTTTCAGAAAACAAGTTGCTCTGTTTGTAGGCAAAACCGGACTGTAAGGATCAGCACTCATGCCTCTGGTGTAACAATCAATGGCATCATCGAATTTCCCTTCTTTAAACATCTGGTTGCCCTAAAAAAAAAAATACAAAAAAAACAAAATCTAAGTCTAGCCATTCAAAAAATGTAAATTATTCAGATTACGGTTGGGAAAGGAAGATCCAACATTTACTGATGAACTTTGAGAATTTAAAATCAAAGAGTCTAAGTAATTAAAACATACTTTCTCCTTTTCAGCAAGAGCCTGTTCTCTGTCAATGTGGATCCCGGTTTCTTCTGAATCTGACTCAGACTCGACAGGGCTGACATCTTTGTCCAGCATTTCTAATTCTTTATCCTATTGGGATTCATATTTTTGTAATTATTCAATTAAATTGTAATTATTTTTTGTTAATAAACTTTGATTCATTATGCATCGAAAGACCTAGGCGAATATTAAATGTGAATGACATCATTTTAATACTACTTTTCATACATGTTCATCAAAATGAGATCTAGGGTTTATTAAGACACAATGAGAAATTTACCGCGTCAAATTTTTCCCATGATTGGTAGTCGTAGGATTTTATTCTCGTTTCTTTCTTTTGATCGTTCTTTGTAATGGTGGAAGCCACGTTGTTGTTTGTCTTCTGCTTTTTATAGTCCTTGTTTCTAACAGGTGGTAGATTTTGCTGAAATAAGGGTATGTGTACATATAGTTATACTTACAAAGAGAATTAGGAAACATTTTCCTTTAGGAGCACTATACGGATACTGTAATGGATCAAGTTTATAGAAAGTATGATATCCATTCCGCAGGGTATTGTTTATCCTCGTTGTTACTATTAGCTTTTATAAAGTAAATCAATACATCAAAGTGCAGAAAGAGGAAATGTGTCATTCGCTAAATTTGAAGTAACGAGCGCATAAGTAAATGCTGTAAATGTTAAATATTAAAATTGGAGAACAATCTGCTTTAAAGAATAAAGGCTCACCTTCTGAATGTGGTCAGAACTCTCACTTCTCAGCTCTTCGTCTTTCTTTTTGATATCGTTTTCCCAGCTGTCAAGATCTCTGATAAAGTCATGCAGCTCCTCCGCATTCTGACGCATCTGCAGCTGCAGCTCTATGGCTTTATTTCCACCGGACATACTCCTGTGCTCCAACAAGAATACGCATGGGATTAATAGCTAAAACTTATAAGTAGATGGTACCTTCTCAAAAACATGCATGTTAAATAAACGAGAACGAAACCTCCTCCGGTAACTAAGAGACACTAAACACACGTGCATGCAGTTTATTACTAACGACTAATCAAACTAAATACACTCCAAATACCTTTGAAATGGCTATTTCAAGAAAACAAAGTCAACAGCTAAAAACTAAACTAAAATGAGACATAAACTAGATTAGCAACTGTCACAGGGGAGAAACTAGAACGTTAAACGTGTAGCGCCATGGTAGCGCGGCCGCGTCCCCTCGCCACCGCCGGAAGTGACGAAATACGCAACGAGGTGACGTCTACGGACACTAATTTTTCTTTATTATGACAAAGAGCTTATGCTTTACTTACTTAAAAGTGAAATCATTGCACAGTATCTGATTGAAATCATATTTGTATTAAAATTTCTACTGTCGAAGAATTGTGTAACCTTTTACCTTTGACCTTTCACTTGCAAACAAAGGTAAAGTAGAACATGACCTAGCTGGTGTCTTCGACTTTCGTTTTCATCTTACAACTTCATATTATTCGCCTTTGGAAATTGTGCATTGATCTTCTCTCCAAGCTCTAATTTTCAAATGGACCAAGCCAGAGAATCGGAACAGAAAGACGAGGACTATGGTTATGGCTTGTTCCCGAAGAGAAAAGAAGGGAAATATAAGAAAGGGTCACTTGGAGAAAGCCTGTTCACTTTCCACAACAAATGTCAAGTAATGCTGCATTTTGCGTTGGAGACGAGTACGTTCATAAACATAACACATATGCATATATCTTAAAGTAGCAAAATAATTCAATATATGTCTCTATAATGTGATCCAAATGACTGCGATATTAAATAAACGCAAGTTAATACTAAGTGATAAGTCACACAGACTCAGCACGTGCGTTAAATGGCTATAATTAATGTGTATTTTAATCGATAGGTCCGTATGCAAAATTCCTACTCGGTGTCATGAAACAATCTGGATGGTATGTATTACGTCGTTAGAAGTAACCTTATTTCAAGAAGTCAATAAGGTGTATTCCCATTATGCATAAAGAAAAGTATTATTAAACGACGTAGTGTAACTCCACGTAAACTTAAGTCGGTTTTTGGACTGTCTATCTTCATCTTCACAATTTTGTTGTACATAGTAATTGTGTAATTACGTAGACAAGAAACTCTTAAATGCTATCAGGATTCTAAATATCATTACATTAGCACCTGATTAAATGGTTTAAACATTAGAATAACCCATATGCTCATCGTGTAAGCAGGACGACGCAATTGTTTCGACATGTGCTGCTTTGACAGTGTCCCTGTATTTATTTTTCAGTGCTGCATATAAAGACCGTCATTTTGCCTGTGAAGACTGTGACGGGATTGTCAGTGGTGGTTTCGACGCGGCTACTTCTCAAGTAAAACAGCGAACTTCATACCTCCTAATAGATCTTGAAATGTATCAAACCACAGATTTAACTAGTATATATGAATCTTATTTGCTGAACATTTTCATATAGGCCTAATAAAGACACATATTACACAAGTACAGGTCTGATTGAAATTGACACAATATTTTTTTCCCTGTTTGATTACAGATTGTTTTGTGTCAGAATAATGTTCACCGGCAGTCCCACATGAACAGAGTGGTCACCCATGAACTTATTCATGCTTTTGACCACTGTAGAGCCCATGTTGATTGGTTCAATGATTTAAGACATTTGGCCTGCTCAGAGGTAATGTGTTTGTGTGTGTATTCTCCTGCCTTACCTACTGTCTGTTTCCTCTGTGTGCTGTGTTATATAAGGGGTAGGCAATCCTGATCCTGGAGTGCCAGTATCCAACAGGTTTTCCACCTTACCTGGTCTCTGATGAACCACTGCCAATCTCAGGCAGAAAGAAACTCATGAGGAAGGATAGAAAACCAGTGGGATACCAGCACTTAAGTATCAGGGTTGCCTACTCCTGCTTTATATGATATCTCTAGATGTATTAAATAAGCTTCTGCTTGTAAAGCTGCCATCACAGTGTATTAATAGATTATTCTGGCCCAATTCCCCCCCCCACCCCAATTCAGATTCGGGCGGCCAACCTCAGTGGAGACTGCTCTTTTGGCAATGAGCTTTCAAGGCTTAATTTCGGGGTCAAAGGACATCATCAGGTAAATCAAAGGAGATTTTTCCAATGGTTGTACAGCAAACACAAACAGCTACACAATTACAGGCATAATTTTAATATAGATGTATAGGTATGCACAGTCACAATGCAAATTGTAATTGAGTTGAATTCAGGAAGCTTAACTGTAATGGTGGACATTACTTTCATTTGCAGTTATCTCCATTTGTCTGTGTGTTATAGATGTGTAAAAGGCTACCCAAAATGACCATTCCCATCACCGGAACTAAACTGATCATTTCCCCCATGTGCTAAATAAACATCACCAACCATTTGTGGCAGCTTATTGTGCAAGGAAGGAAAAGTTGGACGTGGCATGTTGCATTGCCTTTGACAGGACTGCGTGCGGGACCGTGCACTGCGCTCTATCCTGGCCGTGCGGAAGGTGAGTCCCGAAGAAGGAAAGAAGGTGGTGGATGAGGTCTTCGACAGCTGCTTCAACGACCACGCGCCCTTCGGTCGGATCCCACACAACAAAGACTATGTCAAATTCTCTTCCCATGATTTTCAGAATAGAGATCGATACTATTCTAACCTATAAGGAAGGGAATGAGCTGTTGCGCGTACTTCACTGGTGCTTATGCAATAGACATGGCTGATTGTCTACCTTATTCATCAGGAGCCCTCAGCAGAGATTCTGTGCATGTAGCTGGTATAATGGGATCAATGGCACGTGAAGAATCCTGAACTGGGGTCACTCGTTCCAGGGAAATTGACTTCTGTCTGTGAATGTGCGTGTAAATAAAAAAACAAAAAACATTTTAATTATATACCTTTTGTAGATTTTATATGGCAGTTTTTGACTTGGTGTGTTCATGCAAATTATTTTGCGAAAGCGGAATGATGATTCAGGGATATTTGTGTTTTAAGAAAAAAGAATCCCTAGGATTTTTTCAGAGGAATGATTTGTAAGAGACTTTTTAAAAGACGCATGGTCAGTTTAACTATGCTGATTTAAAATGTACCCCAGCATTAGTGACCTCACATCAAAGCCATTATTTAAGAAGTGTATAATTTAGCTTTTTTTCTTTTGGTATCTGTAACACCAGTGAAGCTACTGTGTACAGGTGTTTGTGTGTGTGTGGGGGGGGGAATCTACATAAGCGTCTTTGAAAAGGCTGACATACTAAACCCTGGTGCTGAAGGTACTTGAACTTGAACCAGGAAAAATTAGACATATTTCTGTTTACTTTGATCACCCTAGACTTTTGTAGTTTTTCATTTCAAGTCGAAAATTACCTCCCTGTAGTTTCCAGTAACATAATTTGCAGTCATGTTAATTGACTAGTAAATCTAATAAATTAATAATAAATGTTGCTTTTCCATATGTTAGAGAGGGAACTGTGGGTATGGATGGGTGCCAAACTGGCCGTTTATTTCCTGTGCAGCATCTAATAAGATGCTTGCAGAATGTATGAAACAGTAGATGGCGTTGTTTACCTTTCATTCTTACACCCGGCTGCCTCAGTGGAGAGATAAGAATTGCTTTTGCTGTTTATTATGCCCATAAACAAAACGAGGACTGTGATATCGATTATTAAGATATATTTTCCATCAAACACGAATCCTGGTCAGGGTTGTGGGTCAGATGTTTAGCTTAAGATTTATTTCAAATTCAAACAAACTCTACAACTGGTTGGCCTAATTTACTAATATGGAAAATTACTTGCTCACATATCTATAGAAGAAGAGTGATATCAAGGCAGTTAATCTGATTGAATTCAGCTAATCATGGATATCTGTGTTGGCCTGTATATAACAAATTTGTAAGTGTACAAAACACATATTTTAAAAAAAAAAAAAAAGCTCATGTAGTTACAGTTTTCTCACGTCAGCTGTACTGTTCCAAAATTGCATCGTACATTGGTTTACATTTAGCCATTATCATTTGGCATGGTTTTTTCCCCATTTAGTCAATAATAGCAATAAATGGTAGTAATGACAATTTAGAAATCTTGTGTTCATAATGCATGTTCTGCTTGCAGACATAAAACGAGTAACATTTATTGTCCTTTTATGGTTCGTTACAGGCTGCAGACAAAGTGAATTAAAGACTTTATAGCCTCTGTATAATATAAAAGGCAATTGCTCTTTTATATGCAGTTCCTCGAGTTTATTGACAACATCTTATATTCAGCTTCAATGCAGAAACCTACCGGTGGAGGGGGGAGTCAAAGATAAAACTTGCCGACTGGATTAATTTTCCTTTCACATAAACTGCAGCATGTTGTCATTTTGTCTTTGTCTTCAGACTTCACACCTAATGTTCATACTGCTATGTGCTTAACAATGGCAAACAATATTCATCTACTGACGTTTGACTTACATGTGCAAGAAATATGATATATTGTTCACCCCAGGAATATTGAAAGTCACTGTTTTCTGTTTTCCAATGGTGGTCCATGTAAGAGCACTGTTTGCTGCTAACAAGAAAGATGTGCGATTAATCGCGATTTTAAAAAAAATCACCGTTTGCCTGCCCATGTCACGCACAAGGTGTGCGATTAAACACAATTAAAAATAATAATCATTTGACAGCCCACTTAGAAGTTGTGTAATTAATCGCGATTAAAAAGATTGTCTGCCCGTTTCATCACACCATGCTAACTTCACTGCTTCCTTGACACCTTTTCCCTTCCCCCACATGGCGTAACCAGGTAGGGAGTAATTCTAGGGGTGCCAACAATAAATTTTACTATTCACCACAATGTCACTATGAAATTTCCTGTAGTGCCAATGTACATATGTATAAGTGGGGAAAAAAGCAATCATAGGCCTATTTGTTCCTATTTTTATGAAGTGTTATGGGGGCTTTATCCAGTGCATATTGCCCAACACTGTACCTTTTCCTACATCTGTGTCATTTCTGTCGTATTGTTACATTTCTTGTACTTATTTCTATAGACTTTTATGTTGTGTGAGTACCCCTAGCTCCCCTGTCAGTCAGTGTATGTATATTCTCTATTATTTTTATGTGTTAGCTATTATTCTCCTTTCACCTCTCCCTCATGTGTTGCACTTGTCTTGTTTGTGATCTCTGCACTTTATGTATATATACATACTAGAACCTGGGGAACATTATTTCGTGCCACTGTTTGCTGTGGATTTTATATAGATGGCATGAAAGACCCACTTGTCCTGACTACTCACTGGCTCCCAGCAAGCTACTAGTGGTCCATAAGCAGCATGTTGCACCCACTTTTCTATGCTCTCTTTTTCCAGAGTGATAAAAAAATCTAAACCAAGTATGTGTCAAGGACCCGGACGGGTTTGGTGCGGGAACGTGGCATGACACGGGCACAAAAAAGATGGACGACCCACTGGCAGCTCCAGGAACAACAAACGGGGTTTATTTAACTGAACTAAAAACACAAGAAAGGACTAACAAAAACAAAGGACCATGGGGGGTCAAAAGTAAACAGACTACTACAAAAACAGGGCAGGTAACATCTAACAAAAGGGAATAATACTCAAGGACAAACAACAGAACCTCCACAATAAAACATCTACCATCTAACAACAATGAACTACTGGGGAAATGAACAGTATATACTAAGGGGTAACGAGACTAACACAGGACAGGTGAGGCTAATTAACAAAGACCAGGAAAACGGGGCACAGATGAAACTAATAAACTCAAAGGGACTAAAACAGGGAACTAACCAAGGAAACAGAAACTAACGCTGGGGAATTACAGAACAGGTAAAGACACAAGCAGGGGCACAAGGAGCAAAACCGAAATACAAAATCACCAGATACAAGGACTAGAAAAACTCAAATGAAAGACTAGGGAGCAAAATACAAAAACAGAGGTAGGATTTGAACACAGGACAAAGATCACAAGCAACCACATGCTCAACACATTGAGCCATGTGGCTAAACAGGTAACAGGGGAGAACAAAGAATAACACGAAGGACGGGATGACCAGCGACACCTGCTGGCCAAACGGGGAAGGGACAGAGTGGGACAACAGAGGCTGACCCTGACAGTATGTGCTGAAGGTATATACATTTCTGGCCAAATGCCATATTTTGACATTTTTTATTGCGTGTGGCCATTTTGAGAACGTTATGTAATTTGGTGGGGATTAATGAAATAAAGTTTGGTGAAACTGAACTCCATAATTCTCTCTCTCTCTCTCTCTCTTTCTCTCAAAATAGAAAATATCACTTTTGGGGACTATCAGAAGGCACAGCCACCCCTATTCAAATTTTAATTAAAAAAAATATGGCCAATTAAAGTACGTTTATTTTGGAACTGACAGTGGATTACTGCTAAATCACGATTTCACAGAGATCTAAAAATGTGCCAAGGTTAATACCAAATTAATAATTTGCTTTAAATTCCTTATTTGTTGCTTGCTAAATAATTTATTTATTTATGTACTCTAAAAATGCAACAGAATTTTTTTCCTTTCATTTGTCAGGTACTTGAATCGAAAACATACTCGTCTTAGAATATTACACCATTGCCTATTATCCATGCATGCATGCGTCCGTCCATCCATCCATCTATCCATCCATTTTCTATAGTGTAGATAAATAATGCATTTTAAGTATTTTACAGCAGGGGACAGGCGTACAGAAATGTATGCCAAATTAACTTCATGAATACGGTATGAATACAATATTTAACAATGAAATCTTTTGGCATATTGAACACCAGTAAGCAGTACACAGTGTTTGTGCTATTGAAATAGGAAAATATCAAAATCAGTCGGGTACATTTTTAAATACATCTGAGGTAGGAGAACACAGCATTTCCATATGAATGTGTGGGGAATCTGACCTCAATGGAGAAGTCATTAATTTTCAATGCACTAGTAATAAAAAGAAAACTTATTCAATAACTTATTCCATTTGCAATGGAATGGGGAAAAATAGCTTTAATGTATGACAATATATCCTGTGATCCCAAAATTAAAAAAATGTGTTTTTCAGATATTAAGTCAATAAAAAGGCACTTAATTCTATTACCATGCCTGAAGGAAAAAGAAATTCCATCTTCACATTTACTGTGTGAGGGGGTCGGGGGGGTTGGAGGGGCGGTCTCTTGCATTTCAAAATACATACAGTGTGCAGACAATTTCTTTTTATTATTAGTGTCATAATTTTTTCGACTGACTCATTCAGTTCTGTTCTTCCAGTACTGCTAATAATTGCAATTGTAGTCACTAGCTCCCTAAGGGATACTAAACACAAATGTTTGGTGTTTTATGTTATTACAAAGGTGTTACTAATTAAAAAGCACCCAAAGTCTGCTGATCAATTAACTTTTTGACTTAGAACAGATGTTTTAGAACTATAATTTGGGTTTGAATTTATTACTACTTGAAAGTTGTACTTAAAGTTACTGGTTGTTTTTTTGCAGTATTTTTACTGAATTATGTAAGCGACCCAAGACTTTCTGTGAGTGCTGACTGGGCCCCAAATCCTCCTGGTGCACAACATGGTACCTGACATATAAAAGCAGTCCATGATGGGGTACATGGACGCTCTCTGTCAGTGGGATACCCAGAGGAGTTATGAAATACAAAATTTTTACAGTAAATGGGTCTTTACAGTTACTACAGGTACTGACCTCAGGACCAGCATACAGGTAAATCTCCTCAAAAAATATTGTTGGAGGCAGTTATCTAGACGCCTCACTTTTCTCATGGTGTCCATTTAACAAGTTTCCGTCTTTACTTGATATACAGAAAGTGAGGCATCTGCTTTATTGAACTAACTTATGAACGTCAGAAATTAACAACTCAGTTAAGGACAAAGGTTCTCACACACGCTAACAAAAATGGCATGAAGAGCAAAGAAAAAGTTGGATCAAGCAAGGATATAATTCAGGCCACTGGCAAGCTGTTTGGGTGTAATGAAAATCTTCACATGCAGTGGTCCAATAGGGGCTTTGGCTTTGCATACAGTTATATTATGTCTCTGCTTGTTCCCAGAGGGACAGTCATGTAATTTGTATCACTGGGATTGATGTATTCCACTTGTGCCATGTCACATATTTGTGCATATTGCTGCATTCCACTTGCCCATATTTCTGCTTCTCGTTTCTCTTTTTTTGGTCATGGATCTCGGTCCACAATTGGTCTCATGGATTGCTGCCAATTCCCTGTGTCAATAAACTCCCGACCCATGGCCATTTCTGTCATTAACTTCGAGAGAGAGAGAGAGAGAGAGAGAGAGAGAAGCCAGATGCAGCTCTTGGAGCTCTTTATTAGGAGGTACACCAGACTTTACATTTAGCCACAATGACCTAGCTGGTGAACACAGTGAGGACAGGCACATATATACACTGAACAAGATTTACAGACAAGATCCAGGTGTAGCAGAGACTAGGCAGAGATGACTCATGACAGTAGCCCCACTCCCGAAGCATGCCCTCTGGGCACAGGAGGCACTGCCATGACCAAGACAGAACACACAAGACAAGGAACCAGGGAACCCGAACACAAACACCAACACTGTACATAGGACCAGGGAAACAAGACAAGACCAGACGAGATGAAAAGAGACGAGACAACAGCAAAACCGAGGGGAACAGCCTGGAATTTACACCAAGACAAAGGGTTATCATGACCGACAGGCACCAAGACAAAGGGAAATCATGACCGACAGGCACCAAGACAAAGGGAA